CTGAAGCTGTGAAGGAAGCATTGTGGCTTGAAGGTTTTGCAAAGGAGCTAAAACTTCAAGGTCAAGTTATCACTGTTAAATGTGATAGTCAAAGTGCAATACACCTGTCGAAGAAGTCATCCTATCATGAGAGAACCAAGCACATTGATGTGAGGCTACATTTCGTCAGAGGGGTAATCGAGCATGGAGAAGTCCAAATGCTGAAGGTTTTGACAGATCATAATGCTGCTGATATGACCACCAAGACGTTGCCCAGTTGCAAGTTTTTCTACTGTATGCAGTTAATAAAGTTGCATGAAGAAAGCTAGTTTCTTGATGTTACAGAGTTAGATCCAAGGTGGAGATTTGTGAGATGTTGGATCGAACTCTAGTGTGGTTGAAGTCTATTCGCGAGTAATGCGTATTGTAGTCGAAGTATGTTCTAACATGCATTAGTCAATATTGCTAGGGTTGTTAGCATGTTGAATTGGGCCTTTCTTGTAAGCTCAATTGTTCAAGTTAGCTTGTACCCTAAGTTAGCTTGTAATGGGTAATTGTTAAAAAGCCCATTAGGTTAGTGTGCTATTTTTCTTATAAATAGGATGCTAGTTTCTCAATCTTGATATAAGGAAAAATAGGAAGATAGAATCCTAATTTCAAGAGAGAGAGGTTATTTTTTTATTCTTGTATACTTGTAATCTTGTTCTAAGAGAAAGGAAAGAATAACAGTTTAATAACCAATCCTTGTTGTTTTCTTCTTTATTAACCCTAACCCTTGTGTGTTTCTTGATCATTAAGAAATTGTTTATACTTAGTTTTAAGGTATCTGATTCACAACAATGACCTTAAGATTAATTTTGTGTAAATTGAGTTAAACTGTTAACCCTTAGAGTTAGTAGAGTTATCATTTGCGAAGAGTTGTCCTTAAAGAACTTTTGTACAGTTTAGAATACTTTTGGATATTCTAGAGTCATTTTGAGAGTTGAGAGTGTTGTTGAGTTGTTATTGAGCTTTGTGAGAACTCTATTCAATTATAAATAATATAATAAAATTAGGATAATTTCTGAGTATTTTGATGAGTTAATAATTTTAAAATTATACTTTTGGAGATTAGTAATCCAGAGGGACTACAATGATGGTCTGTGATTTACAATATTTTGCCTCAAGAGTGGAATCATATTTTGATGAAGATGTTTTGATGATGATATTTTGATGATGATGTTTTGATGATGATATTTTGATGAATGTTGAGTTGCATACATGATCATGCATGCATATATTTTGGAGTTAGGTAGGACTACGGTCCAGTGATGAGTATGTTCAGAGAGGAATCATGGCGGTTTCATGTCCAGAGAGGACATCGTTCAAGAGGAACCGGAGACATGGGCAATCAGTAACATACCTCTGACCCCAAAAACTAGTATCCCATGAATATTGATGAAGGAGTTGGTGACATTAGCATTTGCATTACTATTTAAGTTACGATTGTGTTTCGTGTGAATGATATAATTGTGATTGCTGTTATTTACCATCCTAATGCTACTTTTCACCATTATCATTTGTAAGGTGTAATCTCACCCCTTTCTTGTTTGTTTTGTTGGCTTTGTGCAATTGTTGTACAGATACTCAGCAAGAGTAGTTGCTCGTGAGTGGAAGATGGCATTGGAGTTTGTCTTAGTTTATTTTTTACATTTATCGCTTCTTTTTGTGGTTTATATGCTCAGATCTATAACATCGGAAACATGACGTATTATTTGTTGAGCTGATGTTTGAAGTTTATTTTCTTTGAGTATTTTTCGTTAAATAATTATTTGTTGTAATGAGACATTTTGAGTTCCGTTATGAGTTTTTTTGAAAAATATTCATGAAGTTGCATGTTTTGTTTTTAGTAGCATCCTAACTTGTGAAATTTCTCTTTTATATTAAGAGTCAAGATTTAGGGTATTAAATGTAATCTGAATTCTCCTTATGATTAAATTGTTTTACTCATCTACCATATCCATCAAGATTACTTTTTGAGTACCATCCATATAATTTTGAATCACATTAGGTATATTAACATTATTGTCAGGCATCATTATAACCAATATTCTTGCATTATTGTTAGGTATCAACCACATCGTTTAGTCCATAAACTCAAAGTTCATAGCATTATCTTCCTTTCTATCATTGTTGGATGGTATAACATTATCATAACCATCAATTAAAGCCTCACTTTTTTTTAGAACACTAGTGTCTAAATAAGGAGGTTGCACACCTAAGATGATCAGTAGAATTGTTCTCATTATTGAAATGAGGAGGATTTCCATCTTCATTGAAGTTATTATCATCATTGGCATTAATAACAACATTGAAATGACCCTTGTTGGAATTATTGAAACCCTTCTTTCTATGCACACCATTGTCCTTGTTTATGTGTTCGAATGACCATCATTCTTACAAAAAATACAAAAGTTAGGGAGTTTTTCATATTCAATATCCACATAAATAACCTATCATTTCCACATAGATTTTGTCTCGTAATTGACTAGAAAGATGAACATAAACCAATGTTCTAGCGTAATGGCGAAAGCTCCTACCAAACATGAACTTAATGTGAAGATGTAAATCATCAATCATAACTTGGTTTTAATGAAGACAAAAAGCTTTCTTAATAAGAAAGATCTAAGAAGAAAATAATGATTCAAGTTTCAAGTTTATATCAAGATTTGGATATATATGATAATGGATCGTAAGCAAAGGTATATGTAATTCAATTCATATACACATCATAAGTGCTCAAAGATCATTCATGCATTTCAACCATACAAAAATTGTTTTTCACTATGGAACATGTCTAAACTTGATTTTGATGCAATCTATTGACATGTATGAATAATAGATTTCCATATGTACATGATTTCCTAATTTATAAAAAATTGCAATTTTTCAAGTAAACTAATCGATTGACATATAACCACAATCGATTCCTTCAAACTCTCTGTTTCAAAAAAATAAGATTTTTCAATGGACCAATCGATTTTCCTGTGTAAAAATTTAAAATTTTAACATTGCAAAGAATGGACCAATTGATTGACATCAAGGATCAATCGATTGTTCCTGAAGCTTTTTTATTTTTCTGAAACATTGACACACCACTTCATAAAATCTCTTCATGGCAGTTTTTTCCAAACCATCGTAATTATTTTTCTGATGGAATATTAAGCATTTCCATGATTTTTCACGAGGTATCTTGTGTCATATAAATAGTAGTAAGTTTCATATTCAAACTTAACTCTTTCAAAATGTAGTTTTTAAATCAATTCAAACAAAGTTGCAAGTGTTCATATATTTTTAAATGAAACTTTGTGCATAAACTTTCACATAATTTAAACAAGTTTCATTCATATCATTCTGAGCGCTTAAGTGTATATGTTTGTATTATGATCAAAGAAAAAGAGAAGAACCAAAATTTTCATATATCTTGTAAGCAAGTCCAAAGAGATACAAACTCAAAAGTGAAATTTGTATTTTTGTGATCATCAAGTTGTTGGTGATTGTTGCAGAAAGGTCATTTGAATTGGTATGATTCGAAGCCCACCATAGTTATTGGTGTTGTTGGAAAAGGAAGTGACATGCTTCTTTTTTGTTGTTAGAAAATTGTAGAAGTCTTGGTGTGAGACTTGTACAAAGATTTAACAATAATGAAAATCTCTCATAAGATGTGAGGGTACTAGATATACCATTGATTGAAAAGGTAAACTAGTATACATCTTTGTGTCATTTACTTTTTTTCACTATAATATTCTGCATAATATTATTTTGATCAAGTTGCAACACTTAATTTTTTTTCTAGAAAAGTAAAAAGAAAATAAACTTGCATAAAAATAAAAAAAATTCAACAAGTCTAATTCACCATCCCTAGATTGCGCATTCAATAAACTAACACTTGTGTTTTTATCACGATATATGGGTGTATCCACACTACCAACTATATCATATATGATATTTGGCCTCCAATATTCCCGAGTTAATCATATAATGTGCACAAAGACTTGAGTGCTAGTTTGATGTTACATATTAGGGTTGAAGTTCCACTCCACGTGAATATATTCAAATAAGCATGATTAATAGTCAATGAATGTACTGATTGAACGTTTGTGAAATCCTCAAATAAGGAGAATGATAATTCATAATAATTTTTACCAAGAGAAGTGATCCCCCCATTTACTAAGGGAATGCCACATAATCTGAAACTTAGACCACAAGACATCTATTTTTAAAGGTGTAACACCTTTATGCCATATAATAGGACCGTGGAGATTGTTTTTGTAAGTTTCGCAGCGATCATAGTCAGATACTCATCTTCAAGTATAGTAGTAATAATTTAATTACCTTCACAAAAGGCCTAGAAAGTTGACTAATAGATATAACGAGAACTTGAGTAAAAGATTTGTTCATGCCTTTCGTTAGTTGATTAGTGATGTTAGCAAAACTAAAAAGAGGTTATCAAGGCAAGATCACAACAACACACACTAAGCCATAGAAGTCATGGTACAATGATGGCAAGAAATTCGTTGAAGTGACATGAATTGACTAAGAACAATGATAAACCTTGCAAAATCACAAAGGTTGAGCACATCGAAAACACATTCAATCTTGTACGTCACAATTGTGCCTGTACATCAGAATTGTGTGTGTAAATTTCTAATGATTATTATTACTTCGTTTATACCAGGAAAAAAAATTATATTAGAAAAATATTTTGATACAAATATACAAAACTCCATATCACGAACAATATTTCATATTCTTATAAAAAAAAACACTCATTAGGGATTCCACAAATTTCTGAAAACAAAAATAAGTTTACCCAGCTTGGTGTTGAAGCCAGAAAACATAATGCAGGCAAAAACAAGATGCCTATTAGGCACTTCACCTGAAAAAAACTGAGTCTAAGATACAAGATCTCATAAGAAACCTAGTATGTACAAAATACATACAATATACAGTACAAAACACATATATACATCACTAAATACTCAAGCAATAGTCTCAGATTTTTTATTATAGTAATCAAGAGAGACATGTTTTTTAAAAGAACCCATTGGAGAAACATGTTGAAATGTCTTAAGATTAGTTTGACATCCACCATGAGCAATCAAAACCAAAGCAACTTGCAAATGTCCTGCTTCAGCAGCACAATGCAAAGGAGTGTAACCAGCATCATCAACACAATCAACCTCAGCACCATGTTCCAACAAAACCTTAACACTTTTTATTCTACCTTTGAATGAAGCCCAATGCAGTGGGGTCCACCCATTCTGATCCTTTCTATTTACTTCCGCCCCTTCCCCCAAACACTTCTTCAGCGCGTGTACATTATCGACCCTCGCCGCACGAAGAAGCGCGTCGCCATAACGCAGTAAACCGAACAAGCGCGTGTGTCCACGCTCCTCCGCAATTTCGAATGGCGTTTTCCCGTTTATGTCTCTTGCGTATTTCACGTCGGAGTGTTCCAGTAAAAACTCCACGGCTTTCAAGTGGCATCTCGACGCCGCGTGATGAAGTGGGGTCCACTTTTGAGAATCCACGGCGTTAGGGTTTCCTCCAACCGAAACGAAAAACTCAATCACGCTCACGTGACCTTCCATCGCCGCCATATGAATCGGCGTCTTCAATTCGGAGTTCACCAAATTCACATCCAGTTCGTCACTGAAGTAATCAAACAAAAACTTCACAACATCGATTCGATCCAAAACTGCAGCTTCATGCAAAACAAAATCCACTGAATCGTTGATTCTGCAACCGGAGGCTACTAGAAGCTTCAGAACATCGAGTTTCCCGGTTCTGATTGCCAACGGAATAAGCGACTGACCTTTCAAATCTCCAAAACACGCATCTCCACCGGCGGCGATAAGATCCGCAACGTAGTCGACGTTCCCGCTTTCAACCGCAGGTTTCAGCAAACTCGTGAGATCTGATTTCGAGCAAACGGATATACCTTTCGCAAAGAGGCTACGAGTTTTAGCTACTGAATCATAGTTTGAGATGATAAACTCAGCCACGCTGGGTCCCACTAAGGTGACGGTTATAACCGCATCGCGGAAAACGTGGGGACCGGGTTTATTAAACAGACGGCGGAGGTCCTCCGTGTTGGCCTTACCGGTTGGAAGCATGGAAGTTTTAACGGTGATGACGTCAGCGGAATCGGAGAGTGGTGGTTGACTCAGATTTGAGAGATGAAGTATGTATGATGCAGAACTGAGTGGCGGAATTACTGATAATGGTTTGTTGAAAGAAAAAGTTGATGGGTTTGTTGTTGTTAGAGATACTGCAACAGTCATGGTGTGCATGAGATTTGTGAGCTTGAAAGTGGAACTGCACTTTTGGTTTTTCTGAAAGTGAAGTTCCAGTTCTTTTACCTCTGATTTTACTAACCTATCCATGGCGGTGATGGTGATGAAGATGAAGATAAACTTGATGATTAACACGGTGATTGTTCTTCTTATTAGTCTCTTCTTTATCAAAATTGACGGAGATAGAAAGAAAGAAATTAGGTGTTTGTTGTTGTTGCTGCTGGAATGAGGCTGTTTATTTTGTTATCTATTTGTTTATTTGATTTATATTATTATGATTATGATTATTATTGTTATTGACTTGTTGGGGTTTAGAAATTGATTAATGATTAATATATTTGTATCTAGATGTTCGTTTGTTAGGGTGCGATTGTGACATGGAAAGTGTGGGTGGGATGAAGAAGGATATGAATAAGATGTTTTGTTTTTCATGCTAACTAACTAGTTGATGCTATTGAATTGAACAGGAAATAGACAACGTAAAAAAAGGTGTGTGACTTTGAATGTGAACAAATTCAAGTTCAAGCAGCCATTTTTATGAAACTAGGTCTTATATTCAACGCATACATATTTTGACAAGATTGAGGTATAAGTTTGAACCAGTTCATAGAAAAAAATGTATATTTTGATGCATTTTTCTGTTAAACGATTGATACGAGAGGAAGAGGGAATTGCAATTTACAAACCTTTTGGATTTGGATTATCATAATGCTGCAATTATATATTTGATGATAAATTATATATTATTTTTTGTATGATGAAAGTGAAAACAGGGTATCTTGTTTATACTCAATTGATATTCTGTTTTACACTGGTTTTGGCTGTATGCGATAACCAATTTGATTCACGGTTTAATAGAAAAATGAGGTGGTGGTTGCAATTTCAAATACTACCATGTTTTCTAATAAATATTATGAGGTCATATTCAGCAGCTATGAGTCAATTCTTTATAAAATGTATATTTTGTCTTTATCTTGAATTATTTGAGCTAAGTCAGCCGATACTATTTTGAGAGATTGTCTGAAAATAATTTTCTTACATCAGACAAATACTGGATTTTTTTTTTTAAAATGCTCGTAAGATGTAAAAGATAAGTATATATAGTGTTAGATAATGTGTCTGAATTTTAATGTTTAAATAACTAAATTTTTGTACATGCAATTGTAATTTCAGGTGTTTTTCATTCTATTTTAATAAAAGTATGCATTTTTTTTATAGTCAAATGTATTTTATTAAAATTGAGCACAATACTCAACCCAATAATTGACACGACAACGGTTTTGCCCAAAAAAATTATTTTCACTTACCCCTCTATGCCCTATCCTTAGAGTGTGTATCATTTCTAATCAATCAAATTGATCTCTTATTACCCGTCTGTCGAAATTCAAAGTCTGTCGAAATCCAAAGTCTGTCGAAATTAAAAGTCTAAACTTCTGGTTAATCATTTCTTTTAGAGAGGAAATAAAAGAGAAAAAGAATCCACTACAAAAGAAGTAGAGGCTTGGATAAACCCATCCATTTTAAGATTTCTAATCAAATTGACTTAGTGACCAAGCAAGAGGAAAAAAGATGAGAGTGAGATTCAACTCGATCAAAATACAAAGGACAAAACAGGCTATGGACTTCCGAAATGATCCTGCGATTTACTAATTCAAGCCTTTCGAAATGATCTCGCGCTTTACTAATTTGTCCCTCATTTGGAGCCTATCGAAGAAAAGTCTTCAAACAAAGACCTGAATATTACTTGGCAGATTTGATTGACTTCAAACAATCTTATTTAAAGACTTGAAGTGAGTCACACAAGTATTATTATTATTATTTTTAATTGGATTTTTTGAGATAGAATTAGATTGTCAAAATTCTTGAGGAAATTGAAGTTGAATTGTTTGGTTTTGAAATTTTAAATAACATTCTTGAAAGGAACTGTTGTGAAGTTGTTATATTTAGAACACACAGTTAATGCGCAACAAGATTATAACTGTAAGATAAAAGAAATAACACACACACTCTATAATTTTTTGACATCTTAGAAGACATATTGGAGGAGAAGAAGAGAGAGAATAGAGATGATTCTCATTGATTTATTTTTCACATTACAAACTGTTATTTATATGTGTTACACAATAGCTTGCTAAGCAAGTCATCAATACACAAAGTAACTAACTAACTAACTTGTACACAAGACAATTATGGATTAACATTCAGCACTCCCCCTTAATTCATAACTGTTGAACACTCATAACACCAAGTTTCTTTCTCAAAAACTTAAATCTGTCAAGCTTTAGAGCCTTTGTAAAACCATCTGCCAACTGCATTTTAGTTGGACAATATTGCACTTCAATCATTCCATTGTTCACTTGCTCTCTAATGAAATGAAACCTTGTATCGATGTGTTTACTTCTTCCATGTGAGATTGGATTTTTAGTAAGACTAATAGCTGATTTGTTATCAATTCAAAGTATCAGAGGCTTCATCACTTCACACCTCAGTTCCTTCATCATTGAATCCAACCACATTGCTTGACAAGTTACAACTGTCCCTGCAATATATTCTGCCTCATAAGATGAAAGTGCAGTCACTGGTTGCTTCTTTGTACACCATGATATAGCTGCCTCATTGAACTTGAAAACATAGCCAGAGGTGCTTCTTTTATCTGTGATGTCTCCACACCAATAACTATATGAGCATCAAATGAGTTCAACTCTTTCCCCTTTGCTTCCATTTGGAAATAGCAGACCAAACTCCTTTTTGCCTTTTATATACCTAAGTATTCTTTTAGCAGCTATGAAGTGAGTCTTCCTTGGATCATGCATGAACTTGCTAATCCCACTGACTGAGTAGCAAATGTCAGACATGTTGTTGCACAAGTATCTCAATGAACCAACCATTTGTCTGAATAATGTTGGATTAACTCTTTCTTCCTCATTGCAGTCATCCACTTTTGAGTTTGTCTCTGATGGATTTGAAATTGAACTACAACTATTCATTTCAAATTTCTCAAGCAGCTCACCTACATACTTCTGCTGGTGCATAACTGTTCTATTCTTCACCTTCAAAAACTCCATTCCTAAGAAGAATGAGAGTTCCCATAGATCAGTCATTTCAAATTCATATTTCAACTTGTTTTTCACTTTTTCAATCTCTGATCTCTTGCTTCCTGTAATGAGCAAATCATCCACATATAGGCAGATTATCATAGTCTCTTCTTCACTTGAGCTTTGCACATACACACCAAACTCTTCTTAACACTTTTTAAAACCTATTTGTATCAGAAACTGATCAATCCTCTTGTTCCAGGCTCTAGGGGCCTACTTCAAACCATACAAAGTCTTATGGAGTCTATACACCATGTTCTCCTTGCCTTACACTTTAAAACCAGGAGGCTGTGATACAAACATTACCTCTTCAAGTGGGCCATTTAGAAAGGCTGATTTCACATTTAAATGATAAAGTGACCACCTTCTCTTGCAAGCTAGAGCCACAACTAACCTTACAGTTTCAAGCATTGCAACTAGAGCAAACACCTTATTATAATCAACACCATGTTTTTGTAAGAAGCCTCTAGCCACCAACCTTGCCTTATACTTTGAAATTTTCCCATTAGGATTTAATTTCAATTTGAACACCCACTTCACATCTATTTTCTTTTTCTTATCTGGAAAGTTAACTAGCTCCAAGGTCTGATTCTTCTTAATTGAATGGAGCTCTTCCATCATAGCTTTCCTCCATACATCTATCTTCAGTGCTTATTTGTAATTGAGAGGTTCAACATCTGCCAATAATTGATAAGTGCTAAAACATACTGATTTTTAGTGTGAATAATTGGCACTTATTGGATTAATTCAACTAATAAACCTCAACTTTTGTGCACATATTGTATAGTTTACATTATAGTGTATATATTGTGTATCACGTAAATATCATTGAGTTTAATTGTTTTTCTCTCATTTTTGTAGGTATATAAGCAATGATATTTTGTCATTGTCTTATAGAGCATTAAATAAGCTTTCCAACGCTTCCAACCGCACGTAAAACAGAGTTACGGTTTAAAAGTTATGGTTGAAACAAGTGCTGGTCTACTGTCATGTTCGTTGTGCGAACTGGAGGCGAGCGAACTCGCCAAGAGTTTGCACTGCGAACTCAAGGCGAATAAAAATTGTCCAAAAGCATGGAAAATACTGTTTTGGAAGTAGCTAAGGTGGCATATGCTCGCTGGGCAAACAGGAGTTCGCAGTGTGAACACGGGAACCCATTTTTGCCTGTTTAAGTGATTTTTCAAAAAAATTTAGGTTATGTGGTTGGGAAATTTTTACCCCAACTTCATCAAAAACATTCTTGAGTAGATTTAGCTTAGAAACAACATTATAGTGTGCACCTTGACGATCCGGAGTCGAATCCACTTAAATTGGAGTTGACAGACCGTGAGATTTGTGTTCTTCTTCTCTCTTCTCTTTGTACTCTCTATTTGTTGGGGTTTTGTATGTAATTTTATCTTGATTGTATTTATATTTATGAATCTTTGTATAAAATATCTTTTACAAGTCTTTATCGATGGTTATCTTAAATTTTTACTTAATGGGTTTGGATTGCTATAGACATATACGGTTCGAACTCGATCTAAGATGAACATCTGTTAGATTCTAAACTCTAGACATAGATTTAGGACTAATATTCACGTGGGTACCAATTCTTAATGCTCCGTGTTGTCGAGTTGCGTAAGACATCACCGATGAGACGATACGGTTGATCTCTCGACTTTGCGTTAGATATAACCTCTATTGTGAGCGATACATGATGATATTGACGAGCGATTTAGGTTGCATGCATTTGATCTATATATTTTTTAGTACATGATGGGTGAAACGAAATACAACTCCTAACGAGTTTTCTCATTTCTTAAGAATGTATTTATCTTCTTGTTTTATGTTTTCCTTTTGCATTTTTATCCCAAACCATTCAAACCTAAGCTTAGACATATGGAGTTTGTCGAATGGCATTCTTTCCCTCACACTGATCCCTGTGGAGACGACAAAACTGGTTACTTAATATTTTTGCTTGCTGCTTTACTACTCCAACAAAATGGCGTCGTT